CTGTAAAAAAAAAAATAGTACTGACGCTTCTGGGAGGTGGCCGGGATCCCTTCTGGAGGAGCCGGCTCTGTTCTCACTGGCAGCCGGGCCGCTCCTGTCACACAGGCCTTGCAGGTACGTGGGAGCCCCACCGGCCCGCAGACACGTGCCCCAGCGTGCCCCGGCCTTCCTGATGTTGCTGGAGGAGCATGTCTGGGGGCAGCGAGTCCAGAGACACACGGCTGGTGCCCCAGGCCGTCTATGTACTCGCCCACCCGTGCCCTCCGCCCGCTCTCGCACCCCCACCCGGGTCTGACTGCTGCCCGCCTGGAGCGGCGTGCTTGGCGGGTACGTTCGGGGCGAACTCTCTGCGTTCATCAAGGGAACCACTGGCACGGAGGGTCCAAGACGCTGGATCACATCGTTTTTGTAAACCGTGTCCGCTTCGCAAGGCTTCATCGTGTGCTTTCCCACCAGCGAATTGGCCGCCCTCATGACGTCACGTTTAGGCTGACGTCACGAGTGAACTCGAGTGTTGCCCAACAGCCACAGCCACTTTGCAGGGTGATTTTCATCTCTGTGCTCTGGCTACACCCCGAGTTGCACAAAATCTCGTGAAAACCACGGGAGAAGCCCACGTGGACATCTCTGGTGGCTGCCACCTTGCCTGAAGTTCACTAAACAAGTTTACGTCCACGTTGGCCTAGTGTCTTGATGACATTGGCCCCGGGGGCGTGGAGGTGGTCCCATAATGGTAGTGGGGGTATGCTTGTCAAGAGTGAGCGCCACGGTGGGGGGAGGCTCCTTTAAAGCGACCCCTGAGAGAGAAAGGCTTTATTCTATCCATTTTCTATTAGCGTGGGGCAAGGGGGCTAGGCTGCCCCAGGCCTTGTCCTGGGAATGAATTTAGCTCTGTCCTGCTGCCCGGCCCTATTTAGGACATGCCTCGCCTCGTCCTCCCGACCTTTCCCTCTCAGAGGAGCTGGACACCCCCTTCCTGGAACTCCGCTGTCTCCCACCCCAGCCGGAGTTCACATAGCTGCAGAAGGAACGTTCTGAGACCAAGCGAGTCCATTCCGGATTAGTTCAAAGGCAGGGGCCAGGCAGCCTGGGGGACGGTCTGTCCGGAGCAGGCCAGGCGCTGGCTGTTAGCTCTGCCGGAATTGTGGGCTCCGCCCGGCCCAGTCTAGCTGTTCCGTCTGGCTGGCGGGTCGACGCTGGGAGACTAAACACGGGCTTCCTGGTGCTGCTTCCTCTTCCTCTGCCCTTGGGATCGAGGTGGAGTCAAAGGCGGGGCGCTCTCAAAGCGTCCGGGCGGGAGAGCACACAGAATGCACCCCAGTCAAGTGCAAGCCCGCCGGGTGCCGGCTTCCTGCCGCGTGCCTGGCGTTGCCGGGCAGTGGTGGGAGGCGGTCTCCAAGGAGGACAGCAGGATCCTCGGAGGAGTCCTTGCAGAGTCCGCGAAAGACAGCAGGATCATCGTAGCACTCCACGGGGGCCGTCAGGAAGCTGTGGTGCTCCTCTCCGTTAGGATCTTCTCGATTTCTTAGCAAGAAACTTAGGGGTCATCTCTGGGGCAGAAGTTGGGATGTTCAGCCTGGAGGCAGGAAGACACTGACCAGTGGGTGGCCGCCAGAAAATTCTTTCTTGCCGGCGTGCCCCACTGCCCACCGGAGTGTATTCTGACGCAGCCTGAGAAACGCACCTTTGTGAATAGACCGGAATGAGCCCAGGCCAGACTTCAGAGGGAGCGTGTTCTTTGCCTCCTGTGACCGAGTGCATCCAGAGGGCTCCCCACAAACACAGCAGCAGCCTGTGGGGAGCGCGCGCCCCATTCCCCTTGTCCCATCACTGCAGTCCTTGGGTGTGGCGCTGACACTGGCCCACGTGCAGGTGGGGAAACTGAGGACAAAAGAGGCTTGCGGCTTGCCCGGGGCCACGTGTACCCAGACAGCCTCGCGCCACACCTCTGCACTCAGCCTCCACCTGGGGCCTTAGCTGAACCCTACTCTCCTCCCCCTCAGACGGATTACTTCCACCTTTTCATCTGCGTGGCCATCGTGGCCATTTACGGGGATGACGTCATTGAGCAGCAGCTGGCCACCGACCAGATGCTCCTGCACTTTGGAAACCTGGCCATGCACATGAACGGGGAGCTGGTTCTCAGGAAGGTGAGCGTGTGCTTGCCCCCCCACGTGGCCCCACCCAGCAGGCTTGCGAAGCCCCGCCCATGCACCAAGGCCCGACTCTCACTCAGCATCCCCCCCAACACAGGCCAGGACTGCTCGCA